TGTGATCGGGAATCGAATAACGATTCCTCGAAGGAGAAAAAAAAAACAGGACCATTGTAGAAAGGGAATAGGATAAAGGTATAACGCAAACGATTACTGGTCTTAAATTACCGATCGCTGTCACAGAAGTAATTACAAGTCGGCGGATAAAATTAATCGACTTCTCAAGGTCCCAAAAGATTTGTCCCGGTGGTGTTCACCGTAAAGGTTCCCTTCTCTCGTTCTCTTATTTAACCAGACTAATTGAAACAGCTAGCTAAAGAGGATCCTCTAAATGAGCACCACCAATCCATCCCTACCACAATGCTCGACTCGACTGTTCGGTGGGAGTAGATTCGGCGACCTTGAGCAGCGTGTCTGTTTTCGAGCGCAGTTATAGAGAGAACTCCCGTCGCCTTTCGCGGTGTATCCGTCGCACAATAAAACCCTCTATGTCATTCGGTGCGCGGCCCTGCTAGAGGAGACGCGCGTGGCTCGTAGCAAAATAATGTACGACGTTAATCTTGTTATTTCACATGGTTCGATTGTACTTGTCGCAAGTCCTCGCACGGACACGTCGAAACAAGGTACACGTACACGATATGATTGAAACGAAGCTCTCTCTCTTTCTCTCTTCCTCTCGCTCTCTCTTTCTCTCTTAATTTCACTCTCTTTCTCTCCTCACGGTTCGCTCTCTCATTCTCTCTCACTCTCACTCTCTCTTTCTCAATCTCTCTCGCCCTCCTTCTCTCTCTCTCTCGCCGGACGCTCGCGTTCTTTGGCATGATCGTTGGCTATCCCTCTGGCAAGATCACGCTTTTACAATCGTTTTCGGAGACCCATGCCGCTGGACCTGTGCCACTATTTAGTATCTTGTATCATGTAATTAAGTATATATATATACTGTATTGAATATATAATATACAATATATGTATATATAATCAGCCATAAAAATAGACGCGATTCTATTGCAGTTTCCTACGTCAGCCCCCTTTCGCCTGCGCGGCTCTCGAGGACGATCACTGAATGCCAGTCGGCGACGATTCACCCTCGTCTTTCAGAATCATCCTGCATTCTCTCTCTCTTTCTCTCTTCCTCTCTCTCTATCGCTCTCTCTTTTTTTCTCTCTTCCTCTCACTCTCTATCACTTTCCCTTTCTTTTTCTCACTCTTCCTCTCGCTTTCTCTTTCTTGCACTCTCTCTCTCTCTCTCTTCCTCTCGCTCTCTCATTCTCTCTCTTTCTCTCTTTCATCTACCTATCTACCTATTAATCTATCTCTGATCGCGGGAAGATGCACGGCTGGTTTCGTCTTCGATGAGTTGAACAAGCTGCGCGAGGTCTTTCGCAAGAACCTGTTAACCGGGACAGACGCCGCTTGTCTTTTCAATTGTACAATGATCTTTCGGTTCCCATTTTCTTCGTCTCTCATTTACATAGGCGAACATCCTTGTACTCGATTGTGTATTGTAACGCTCGCATACCCTGTCCGCGCAGTGTTCGTGATAATACAAATAGTTCGGTTAACAGGAGGACGCGCGGCTCGCGGGATCTTCGACCCGCGCCAGTTTGTTCTCGTTAGATCGGCCGAATCGGTGAAGAGCGGGCGGCAGCGGGTTTTCTTTTTCCTTGACGGATACCAGGTCAGCCTGCAAGCTCGCTCTACGCTAATCCTTCCTCGTGTCGTTAAATTATTATAGATTTTGTTAAAATTATCGAGATTAGCCGGAAACTTGCAGACCGACTCGATACGTAGGCAAAAATACGTAAGGATATTGTCCATCGACTGGTACAATAGAGTCAATTCCGGTTCTTAATTAGAAACGAAGTCGAGAAAGTACTGTAATTAAAAAAAACTGAATGACACGAATTAGATAATCCATTAGACTTTAACACGTTCGCTAGCGTCACATATTTGTGGCCGTAATTCTATGTTTTACACAATGAAAACGAAATTGATCCTATATTGTTATTAGAAATGGTAAACTACGACATTACATTTAGGAACTCAACGACTGTTTAGATTTATTAGATCGAAAATATGCAATAGCGAACGTGTTAACCAATCTCCGCAGTGGTGAACAACAATTCTGACTCCATTTATCAGGATGACCCGCCGAGGAATCGCGTGGACGAGACGAGGGTCCTAGAAACAGCGGATCCAAGAGTGTCAAAGAGATCACGGACACGGCGAGCAAGCTTGTCCCAAAGATTAGAACCCAATTCCGTGCTCGATGCCATCTTGGAAATACGAAGGACCCGCGGTCCCCGTCATAAATCAAGGAAACGAACGATGCGGATCCATCCGGGCTACCACGGCTGACGGTTGCATCAATCTTCCCTCGCGTGCTCCGATGGCAGTGACTTCTCGATCCGTTTCCATACAGGGTGTCCTTGTTTCGCACGAGAATCGCACAACGTCGGACACCTCGTGCAACCAGCCCAGGATCGTCCCATTGGTACAAGCCGTCATTCTTCGAATCTCGATCCATCAGGGACGACGCCTGATCCTCGGTTCCCCCCATTCCTTCCCACCTACATACCCCATAATCCATCGACAACTTAAATTACCAAGAAAAGTTTCAACCGTCTTCACAGCTGCCTACGACTCTAACCTAGAAGGACCCGACGATCGGCTAACAAAACAGAAACCGAAGGCCTCAGAATCAGGATCAGCGCTAGACCTCGTCTAGCAGCTAGCCCAGACGTCGTCCCCTAGGGGTTCAACCGCGCCAGAGCCGCAATCCTAAAGTAACTCTCTCCGAATCTGCCCGTCGCAGCGTCCTGAAGAAACCCTCGACTATTAGGGGGGAGGCAGGGTGGACACCTGGCAGGCTCGTCGACGGCACACCGACGTCCCGGGTGTCCCGTCGCGGGTCCAGCGACCCGGTCGCGAGGGGGTTTTACAATTGTTTCTTTTTCTCTTGGGTACATGTACGATGGTCGAGATCGCTCGCTGGCGGATGGAAGGCACGGGGTAAGGATATCAAAAAGGGGTACGAAGGGCGATGACATCTTCTGTTTCTCCGTCGATGGTGCGGTGGCTGCGGCGTCGGGAACTATCGTTCCTCCTCGGCCCAGTCGCTGGCGGCCCACGCCGGCAGCGGGGTCTCGTACTCCCAGCCGGGGCCGCAGTAGCGCCACGCGTGCAGATACATGACCAGGTCGGATGGCTTCGGGTCCCTGTACTTCACTTTGCACTCGTAGCAGTGCGGGTCGACGGTCATCTTGTCGTTCGCGAAGCTGGAGTCCGGCGGCTCGGACCCTGTCTGCGTGCCGACCGTCACCTTCAGCGACTGCTCCTGCTGCTGCTGCTGCTCCTCCTCGCCCAGGCCCGGAGTGGAGGACGGCGAGCCGTCCTTGTCGTTGCTCAACACACGATCCTCCATGTCCAGCTTCGGCTTGAACAGGCTCATCTCCGAGTCGCCGTCCATGCCCAGCCAGTTCTCCGCGTTGTGGATGCTGATCAGATCCCGGACCAGCTCCTGGTCCGTCTTCTCGATGTTCCCGCCCTTCCCCTTCTGCGGCCCGAACACCACGTGGTTGTAGAGCGGGTCGTTCACCACCGGGTAGCCCAGGTACTGCAGGTGCACGCGGATCTGGTGCATGCGACCGGTCTGCGGCTTGCACAACACCACCGAGGACTTGCCGTTGTAGCTGAGCCGCTTGAAGCGCGTGATGCAGTCCTTCCCCTTCTCCGACACCTTGCACACGCCGATCTTGTAGGACACCACCTCGATCGGCTCCGAGCACACCACCTCCTCCTCGGGGAACTCGCCCTCCACTCGACAGACGTACTGCTTGTGCACCTGAAATCGTGATGACGAGTTTTAGGGGATGCTCCTGATTTTGGAACGATTCTGTGCTCGATTTTGTGTTCGTGGCGCGACGAGGATCGAGAGCGAACGAGCTTCCATAAAAGATTGAGAGAATTGCGACACGAACCTGCCGGTTTCTTATCTGTTGCTCCATCTGCCTCGCTTTCTTCGGCGTCCTACCGAAAAGGAGAATGCCGCTGGTCAGTCTGTCCAACCTGTGGATCGTCCTGAGGTTCTTCAAGTTGTACTCCTTCGCCAGAATGAATACCACGGTGTTGTGCCGGTACCGTCCGCACGGATGCACCTGTAACCCCATGAGCAATTCTAGTTAATAATTGTAACGTGTGAATCTGGGATTCGAAATGAACAGAGGAAAGGAGATTGGGGATTACTGAAAGGTTAGTAAATGGATAAATAGTGAATCAGAAGATATTTTCACCCCCAAAGAACCGTTTTCACCATTTCACCTATGAAATATGTATCCAATCATCAATTTCTACCATGGTTTCACCAATGTTTCATCAACTTTAACCAGAAGCTTAAACCTACAGCTTCTTTAACTCTAAAAGCCAAATTCTGCCAATTTCTAGCATTTCGAATGGTTTGTTTAATAACAAAGACAAATGATATTGAACAATAATTAATGATTTAGTATTAAATTAGTCGTATTACGCTATGATCTAGCTACGTACTAAATATTTTTATCTACATTAAGTTCGTTGTAATTGTTTCTCAGCAATTTGGAAGCTCTAGTCATCGGTGACCCTCGCAGCAGTCAACATCAAACGAATATATTTTATAACTTTCTAGTTACAATGACGTTGAACTTTCACACCTGAGCGTATAAAAGTTCAAGTTTACCGATTACTTAATTTTATTCACTTTCAGTGCAAAATGAAATAAATCAACAGGATGCCAATATATTGATATGTGACTTTAACGTTACATGAGCTTACAAAGGGCTAAAATTGATTCGCAGTTGCTGAAAGGTGACATTAAAAATTGTTCGGAGTTAAGGGTTAAACGGTAGACTAAAAATCCATTGTCGCCGGCGCACAATGTGTTAATCCGTCTACAAAAAAATGGTTTCTCAAACAATTCCGTACACGAGGCACCTGTACAATCTCCCTAACAGCAACGTAAGAAGTCCGAAGCCAATTATGCCGCCCAGTATAGCCGCCATTAACCCCCGTCCCATTTCCATTCCATCAAATCAAGGAACAGCAACGGACACCCTTAAAAACCGGGCAAAACGACCGGTCGGAAGGCCTCACGCACGCGAACGTTCGACCATCCGTCGGGGACAGGTCGACGGGTCTCGCGTTAAAAATGGCATTTTGTAATAAAGCGCCTAGGGGAGTGGGTGGCGTGCGCTGGTCGACCAGCAAAGCGTCCGAACGATCGACCGTTCCCGACGAGCTTTTTAAATTAAAAGGCGGCCGCCGCGCTCGTTTCTCTCTCGGACGAGGTAGATCCTAGGCACCGGGCAATTCCATCGGGCCATTAGAATATTACCGTCGCACCCCCTCGGCCTCTCAACCCCTTCCTCGAGCCAGTTTCGCTCGCAAACCGGCGCGGAACACCGCGTGACGAGCGAACACGTGCAGCGCGCGGATAAAATACGGCTTTAACCCTGCCGCGGTCTTCGGGTCTATTTGACCCAATCACTTTCCCATTTTTCTTTTACCACCGATCCGTCCGGTTATGCCTCCACACGTCAATCGTAGTCTCGTTTCCATCGCGATCATCTGAATTTGAGGGGCGAGAGTCTGGAGAGTCGGGGATTTTCGGAGCGTTGAGAATTTGGAGAATTTTCTCGAACTCTGAGAGCTCGGAGAATTTTTCGAACTCTGAGAGAACTTGGAGAATTTTGAGAATTCTGAGACAGCTCGGAGAATTTGGAGAATTTTCTCGAACTCTGAGAATTTGGAGAATTTTCTCGAACTGAGAGCTCCGAGAATTTTTCGAACTCTGAGAGAACTTGGAGAATTTTGAGGATTCTGAGAGAGCTCGGAGAATTTTTCGAACTCTGAGAGAGCTTGAAGAATTTTTGAGAATCTTGTGAATTCAGGGAATTTTATGGAATAGATGAAATAAATTGAGAATCACAGCAGCGTTGAACAGTAATTATACTTACACTCGATATTTCACTTCGAATTTTTTCGAATATTTTATCCATTTCAATCTATCTTCGTTGCAAATATAAAGCTTTCAGAATCCCTGTTCAAACATTGATCTAGTGAAACATTGCTACGCTAATTTTTACCAACAGTTAGAATAGAACTGCATCAATATCTTCCATTGAATTCTACAAAAGCTGCTACAATGTCGGATATTTCATTAACCCTAATCGGATGCGACTTTGAGTGACATTTGAACTTTTTACTGAAATCTTTTGATTATTTCATATTGCATTTCCAAAAGTTTTTGTGCACTTGAAATTTGTATATAACATTGTACACCGAAAGAATTTGTTCATTAAGGGGTTAAGTAACACAGTAATCTCAACAATCAATGTTACGTATAGTGACATAAATTGACCTCAGTGAAAATTGCCATTCGCACGATTCAGTTCTCCGAAAATTGGCCGGCGCGATTAGCGTTAATATTCTCCCGCGCGTTTCACGCGATTCGCCACTCGAGTCCCCCATAAACGCATGAAAAATCCGCAGTCTAATTATCAATCTGCGAGTACGTGCACACACGGTTCGCCGGCACGTGCAAACACGGCACGCGATTCCGCGCGACCCATTTCTCCCGGGTCGTTCGGAAACGCGGCTGGAAATAAAAACAGGGTGCACCGACAAAGGAGGAAACGGTTCCGGCGGTGGCCGCGCGGCCATGTTTGCGCGGCCGCTCTGTGGACAGACCGCGGCTGATCCGGAACAGTCAAGCCAACCCCCGAAAAATACGCCAACTATCCCTGTCCCGCGCCGCCGATCACTCTCCCCCGACCATGAACGGGCTTCCGATAATTGTTTGCGCTGCCCGGCACTGGGACAGGAGATTTAACGCGTTGTTTGGAATGTCGCACGCCTCTCGGCCGCGATCAACCCCGATACAGAGAATTATTCTTGTCGGCGATTTCACCGATCACGGGGAACCGTTTCTCCCGTGGAAATTCGTTTCTTTCTCGACACGTGGGTTTTCGGAAATTTTTGGAGATGAGGTAATTTTTGGAAGAGGGATGGAGAGAATTTGTAGTTGGGAATTATGTGGAATCGTTGGATGAAGGTTTTGAGTTTGAAGGTTGGGGGATGAGTTGATTTTTGGAAGAGGGATGGAGAGGATTTTCGTTTCTTTCTCGACACTCAGCGTTCTAGGGATGGAGAGAATTTGTACTTGGGAATTATGTGAAATCGTTGGATAAAGGTTTTGACTCTAAAGTTTGGGGGATGAATTGACTTTTGAGCTACGATTTTTATCTTGTAATTTGGAAGCTCTGGTCATGGGTGACGTGGCAGTCAACGTGTTAACCCTTAGCAGTCCTATGCCGATTCAGACTCTCTATTTTATTGAGAGTTGTAAAATTGTACCATTTACAGGTAACATTTCAATTGCTCCCAAATATTGAATAAATAAATACATCATATTAAGCTATAATTAAATCAACTAACATCGACGCGAACCTAAAACTGAGAAACCAAAAGCACCTCGTACCGCAAAGGGTTAACCATCGTTCATACAACAAAATAATTCCACCAGCAACAAAACTACACCCTCCGCCAGAAACCCCATAACCCGTCCAACGATTCTCGAACCCGTATTCAAAACTTCCTCCCGCCATAATGCCGCGCGCCCTCGAAGTTACAAGCATAACTTCCCCCGACGCTTGAAACAAGCGCGCGAGCTTGTAGCTCGGAGTTTAATCGTCCCGTAAAAAAGGAGCGCAAGCTTGTGACGCGACGCGAGCGTTCTCTTCACGAGGGCCGGGATCGCGGCGCAATAAAGGACTCGTTCGGACGTCCTCGAAGGTCCTCGGACGTGTCGACGGCCGGACATCGCGGGGAACTGTTTAAGGCGTGAACGGCGTATAAACGGGATAATAAACAGGAAGTAGCGGCTCGTAAAGACCGGCTGACAGCCGAGCTGACAACGAGTGGCCACTCGATTCCCCGGATGATCCTGTTCACGTCCCACCCTCCAGCTTCCGAACGCTTGACCCGATCGCTGACAATCTCCCGGACGAGTCTCTCCAACGTTCCGCCACCGGCCTGCCTCCTCTCGGGTCAAACTATATTTTTTCCTAGGTTTTATTAGGCTAAGAGGCTTTCTCCCGGGCGGACTTAATTTCTGTAAGGCGATCGGGGAACGCTCCGTCGCTCGCTACTCGTTTTATTTCCGTCGAACGAGATTTGTGGAAGTTTCTTCGTTTGTTGAATAAGGGAACTCCAGGGGATTCGGGGGAATTGGGGTTGCGCGGTTTTGCCAAATTTTCTGTGGGTAACAGGAGATTTTTGGATGTTGTCTGAGGTTTTTTCGAACTGTGTAATTTTGGATGTTTTATTGGAGTTTGTTTGATTTTGTGCTTGAGTTCTGAAGTTTGTGGTTTAGTGATGATATTGGGGTAGTTTGAGAGTGTTAAGATTCATTGAAACATTTAATATTCTAATTGATGCAATACTGGAGCCTACAGAGTTCAAAAGGTTAACACTGGAACTACCGAGCATTTAATACGATTAACATACAATTCCCATAACAATTGTAACAATAGATTATTTTCAGTTTCTTCAGACATTCATTATGGTACTGAAATGAAGCTATTTATTTTCAAAATCATTTCGAATATTCGATGCTTCGAAGATATCAATAATTGCTAAACAAAAAAGTCGAAACCAGTCATTTTAACTGGTACGGTAGTTCTAGTGTTAAAGAAACTACCCTAAAATCATTCGATTTTCCACAGTCCGAATTTTTTACTAAGAAGGAAAATAAAAGATCGAAGAAATGTTGCATTTCTAATCTTCGCTGGGATACTATAAAAATTAGCTGCAGTTGCTGATTACAAAACCATCTGTGTATATCGTGTATTATTATTATTATTTTAGATTCAGTGGGATTTTGAGTCTATCGGAAGTGCTGGTGAATAGGGCAGGATTATACTGCAGCTTTTTTCAGTGAATACTTTTCGAAAAGATTCAGCGATGTGAATGATCGTGATGTAACAAGAATAATTATGATAATCTCGCCTCTGGCGCGGACAACGGGACAAAATGTGTTCGATGGAGAGTGAGGAGCTTGAGAAACAGTAAAACGAGAGTAAAACGAGCAATGCAATGTGAAAGGTGCAGAGAAGAAAGGAGTATAAATTAATTAGTAAATAAATGAGGTGAAACGAAGTGCCAACGGGGACTGTGAGCTTCGGCGAATAAGCGCTCTTATTAAACCAAACACGGATATAACTCGATAAAAGTACAAAAGGCGACGTGAGAGACGCAAACAGAGAGTTTTAATAAACCAGAGGAAACAAGACACCGATGGTTCCCGTCTAAAAACGGAGAAGAATGGATTAGAATGGATAATAGAAGGAAAATAAAATAAATTTTGTTTATTCTTTATTCCTCTTACGAATATTACCATTGATCTCCTGGATTTTTCTACCGAATTACTACTACGTGGTTAATGGTAATTAATCCCGATTATAACAGAGTAAATTAAGAAAATTCGCAGATGAGAGTTAGTGATATTCCAATGAATTTAAAGTTTTCCTGATTCCTTACTTGTTTTACTTTTCTATCGCGACACTCATCTGTCGCCGCCATTTTCCTCAAACTCCATTTCCATAATTTCAATATTTCACGATTCTCGCGAAAATAATCGTTATTTAAACACCACGCTAGCAACTATTCGAATCGAAACTGATCAATTAATTCTCTTTCAAAAACATTCCATCTTGAATATTTATTCCAACAACCGAATCACGTTCACACGATCGTCCATCAAAACATCGAACCACCAAAGAGACCACCCAACTTCAAAAATCACTAAAAAACGTATTAAAAACCAATGCAATAAATAAAATTCCTCAAAGAGTAGCAACAGTAAACGGTAAACTGTTACAGATCTAGGCATCAAAATGGCGCGGGTTTTTCAGGCGAGCCGACACAGAAGCGCGGGAAAACGGTGGCATTGTCGTTCCCCTCCGCCAGCGTCGCGGGCGCGTAATTAAATGATCGTTTCGCGGCGGCGAGAATGTTTCTGCAGCGATTAACTGAACGGGCTGAATGGTAATTAAGCGTCGTACAATGTTTCGCGTAGTTTCTCTTTGGCGTCGGTCCGCGCGCGCGACGCGGGCCCCCGTAAATTAAACGGAGAACGCGGAACAAAAAGCCTCCGGTTCCCGGGCGCCGTCGAACGGATGGAGAACCGGCGGGCCGCCGTGTAAAGCTCCCTGTTGTTTCCCTCGTTCACCGGCGAGTGTTTCAATTCATTAAAAAATAATTAATCCCTCTGTTGAAAGCAGCGCCGACTTCACGCGCCGCGGAACGTAACGAGCGGGACCGCGGGGAACACCGTAAATTAGAAATTTCTGTTTTCCGCGTTGCCGGCATTCGGAAGTAACGAAGCTGTAACGCTAGATTCACCGACGTTCCCGCTGCACGTTACCGAATAATGTTTATAACATTCGACATAGGTCAAATTAACTCGTTCCGCGGATCTAGTATCGAAGGTAACGAACGCTGATTGGACGCTGTTTATTGCTGTTTATTTGTTATTGGGCGTGCAGGTTTGGCAGTGATTTATGCTGACGTTGATGATGAACTCGATTAACTAATCCCGTTTGATCAACGCTGATTTTGACTTTAGTTTATGAATTCTTTCGGTTGAATTCATTTATTTAGTTGATTTCACTTAGTAGAAAATTTGGTGAATTTCGAAACTTTCGTGACTTGAGTCGAATTCTTTGGCAACTGCACTCATTAAGGTTTAGCGTACAAGGAAATTCAATTAACTTCGAAACCTTCACCTGTCACTTTTCGCGAAACCGTATGTTAATTAAAATTATTCAAATATCAATAATTCCCAAGTAACCGGTGATTTCTTAAATCTTCCACGCACTTCTATAACATTTACTAAATTAAATAAAAATCTCAAATCTCAGTCATTATTTGAGCAAAGCTTCGAAAGTGAATTGTCCGCCATCCATCATTTCCGAAACGAACGTCGAAGTCGAGCTTGTTAATCGATTACCGTACGCAACAACGATACTATCATCGTCGGCATCGAATGAACTCTCGTCGCCGGTTTGCGAAACCGTGAATACCTTCTCCCGTTGACATTTCCAGTGGCTGTCAGCCGGCCGGAACGATTTGCCACGGGCCGAACATAACAACGCGTCGCCGCCATTAATCCGTGCCCTTTCGAGCGGCTCGGCGATCGCGTCCCGCCTCCGCGTAATTCACGCGAGGCCTGTAATCTTTCAATTATAACGCGATTAAGGCGAAAGGAAAAAGGAGGAGGAGGAGAAGACGAAGAAAAAGAGGAGAAAGACGGCCGTGCAAACAGGGGTAACGAGAGTCCATTCTGCAACCGTTGCACGGTTAATTTGCCGCCATTATCCGCGATGCGTTCGCCGGTCGTTAACGGTGGAAGGACGCCGGATGAAATTTATCGAGAAAGAATTATCGTTACGCCGTTGAACGACGGAACGGCGAACGATAATATAATTCCCGTTGGAATTCACGGAATTAGAATTCGTCCGATCGATTGGTCCGCCGTTTCTAGTCAGTTTTAGCATCTAATTGACATTTCCTGAGAAATAGACGATTGACTCGAAGACGGGAAGAAATGACGAGGTTTACTGAAATTTTAGTGGAATAAGGTTGATCATTGTCAGATATTACTGACACTCTAGTGAATAGGAACTGTTTAACACTAGGTTTACAAGTTATAGACACTATTTGGTATATATTTTCGTCGACTTTGATTGATGCAGTTATATCAATATGTACTTTGATTAATTATATTTAAATCTCAACTTCCAAAATCCGAATGGACGAAAATGAATTTTTCTAGGAGTAGAATAAACGGCACAGTAAATGTAAACCTAGTGTTAAGGTTAAATAGGTTTACTTTATGTAGTAATTTACTATTTAATTTCTTAGGCATCGAATGTTTAGAGAATTATATTATCGAAGACTTTATAGTAGTGACGTTATATATTATAAATCAAATATGGCCGCCGGGAAAACGGTTCTTTCTCTGCTAGTCTACAAAGATTTCGTTCGAATAAATATTCTAAAAGTTTACTATATTTTTATATGAAATAATTAATAATACTTTAGGTGTTAATAATCGAGTCCAAGGATTTAGTTAAAAGAGAAACGGCAATCTTACGTTAATGAACACAACGACGACCAGCGCGTCGGTCGAGGAATAAACAAAACTCGAGGAAGAGAAAGGAATCATCAGCGGGAATGATTAGCAACCGGACAAGAATAATGCGTGAAGCGTGTTAAACCGGAGTCACCGCGTAAAAATGCATTGCAAAACCACGAAGGTTAACCGCGATGAGTAAACGGTTACCGACGTTCGGCCTCGAGGATGCTGGAATAAGAAAAAATTTCGTTGAAATCCATCCGCGAGGCGCGTGCGTGCGGTTAATTGCCAGCCAAAGAAACGGAGACTTACCGTGTAGAGAAGACGTGAGAGGGGAATAGTGGGGGGGATTCGGACGACGATTGTGCGGGCGGCCATCTTGGACGCTGTGGTCTTTAGAATTGCTTTCTTTGTGTTGAAAGTTTCATCGGTTGTCGAGAGCTGATCTCGAATATTCGCGGGCGAATTGTTGGAAAGAAATAAAATATTCGGAGGGAGAGTTCGATTACGAAAGCGAAACTGGTTGGGAAGTCGTTTGAAAATTGATCGTCATGTCGGAGATTACGATTTTTGAGTTTTAAGGCTTGAATAGTTACGGATTTGGAAGTTTGATAGCTTGATAGTTTGATAGTTTGATAGTTTGAGAATTTGGTAGCTTGTAAACTTTGAGAATTCGATATTGATAAGATATTGATAAGAATTCGGGTTTGATAATTCGATAGTTTGAGAATTTGGTAACTTGTAAACTTTGAGAATTAGATATTGATAAGAATTCGAGTTTGAGAATTTGGTATCTTGAAAACTTGAACACGAAAGTTTGAAAACACTTGAAAGTACGAAAACTTGGAAACTTGGAGCTTGAGAGTATAAAAGTTTGAAAATCCGAAAAATTCGAAAACTCGTGAAATCAAAGACAAATTCGAAAATGCAAAAGCTCGAAAGTTTAAAAATTCGAAAACTCGGTAGCTGTAGAGCTTGATATCTCGAAAATCTGGAAATTGCGAAGCTCAAAAATTGATCAAGCGAAATATTGAAATCCGGAAGGTAAATTTAGAACGATTAAAAATAAATCTGACAAATTACTGGCAAATCGGAGGATCGACGAGACATCGACAACCGAACGCGAGATCGAAGCCAAGGATTCGAAGCGAGCGCGTGATCGCGGGAAGGGCCTTCGGTACCAAAAATAAATCGGTCGGCGCGAACAATCGCCGTCATTCGGACAATCGTCGTCGCCGTCGGAAAGCAGAGGCGATGCGACAAGAAGAAGCGTTTTGGCAGTACAGTCCTGGCAGTACACCACTTACAGGGATGGAGGCGGGCTTGTTGACCACGACGACGTCCTCGTCCATGTGTATCACCGTGATCGGCTCCGAGGTGACAGGCACCTCGTGTCTGCAACACACCAATCGCAACCAGCTTAACGTGGCTTTGTTCTTCTAACGCGTGTCTCCCTTCTTTCTCTCTCATTCTCTCTTTTTTCTCTCATTCTCTCTCGCTTTCATAGACACGCACACACACGCACACACACGCACACACGTTGACACAGAAGTGTCCTAGATGAAGCTTCTAATACTATAATCGGAAATAAAGTAGAATTTCTTATAAGAAACTTTATAAGAAACGAGTATTTCAGGAAAGATTGATACTGAAGATAGAATCAGTCGTGTTCTAGGAAACTGATTTGTATCTTATTCAATCGACTATCGCATCGATCGATCAGATTTCGAAATTTAAATGTGACGAAGAGAAGTCAAACGAGTTTTGTTCAATTGTAGCTTTGTGTGACAGATGCAAGAAGTAACGCGATGTTAATGATTTTATTTTGATAGTCGTTAGAATTCGTACAGTATCAATTTTTCATAGAAAGAATGTGGTTCAGGCACATGTGGCGATACGGTAGAACAAAACTTGATTCATTTGATGGATCGTTAATCATGGGAGCGTATAGTGCAGCTCGGTTTGAAGTACTGTTGCGTGAGCTGGATTGTTAGGCTGCGGGTATTTTTATGCATCTGTTCTGTTATTATCGAAATTATGCATAATAAGAACTAGAAGAGATCGCGATAAGGAAGCAGTGAATTTATGGTACCTTTTTCTTATCTTCGATCGGAGTTATGCGTTGCCTAGAACCGCTTTAACGAACGAGATTCCATTGAATGGCTCCGTAAACGGACAACGATCGTGCCCCTTCGATTATTAACGACGTTCATAAATAGCTGGATCTGTTTGCCGCGGAATCAACAATGCTACATCTAGACGGCTGAGAGCTATCGACGCGCCGCGCCGTTAAAATGGCCGCTCGACGGCATCGGCTCGGCGCGTGTAATAGAAATAAAACACGCTCGTCGTTCGCCCCAATTTCATCTGTGCGAAGCGTATAAAGTAATTTTATTTATAAGGCTATTCTTGATTTCTTTAAATACACCGGAATCGTTCGAAATTTCATTAAAAATTGAGAGTTGTATTTATAGTGAATGTCAATAGCTGAAATACTAAATAATATAAAATATACTAAATTCACGAATGTTTCACGACGGCAAACGGAAAATAAATTCCAAAAGATATTTTCATTGAGGGGAAAGATTAAGTCACGAGAGACTAATAATATCCAAAGTAATATCTAAAGCATCCAATTATCCAACCTTCGATTACCCAAAGATCAATTCTCTTCCTATACTATAATAATCAAATACAAAACCAGATCATTCCCTTAAACAATCATAAACAAAAAATTAACCCTTCAGTCAGCAGCAGTAAAAATGGTTTCGATTTTTGTTTCACAATTACTACTATCTTAACATCTAACATTCGAAATGATCTTGGAAATAAATAGTATCACTACAATGAATGTCTAAAGAAACCGAAAGTAATCTGATAGAATTTTTATAGAAATTACATATCAGTCGTATCAACCCTTTGCACTCGAAAGTTTTTGCCTTAATATTCAACATTTTCCAACAAGATACAGTCAGCATCGTTCGAAACTAATTCAACAATAATTCACAGATAAGCAACAAAGCTTATCTCAATATTTCACATTGCAATAGAAAGTTTCATTTAAAATACTAAATATTCACTTGATAATTTTGCAGTGTCGAATGGTGACTTAGAGTCGCCTCTCGAGTGCAAAGGGTTAAATCCTCGGTAGTTCCAGCGTTAACGCGAAGGAGATTCTCTAAAATATACGAAAGCTTCAGCAGATGAAGCCGAATTACTCAACTGCTTAATTAATATAAAAAAAGGAAACTACGTACTGATCCTCGCTGTTCGAGTAATCAAATTCGTCCACGACTCAGTTCTTTAAACACGAAACTTTCATCTCGCCGAAACGTAGACATTCGTCCGCGAAGGGTTAATCTGCTGCTCGTTCCGAAAGTCATCGATCCGCTGGCAAAAGGGAAGGACACCGTTCCGAGAGCGAAAGCGCCGAACGAAAGTGGAGACCGCGGTCGCGATGGAGCAACCCTTTTACCCGGCAGGAAGCTAAACAGGTTAATGGCGAAACGCGGTCCGCCGCCGCGGGGAGCGGGAACGGGGGCGGGGGAGGCGCGGAAAGGGGTTGCGAAAGAAACCACCGAGGAACGGGACAAAGGAGCGAGAGACGGAGACGCAGAAACACGACAGGTGGCTACGTACGTGCACGCTGCGACTCCAATTACACGTTCCATCTACCTAATGCATTCCACTCCGTGGAACTGCAGTCGTCGCGATGCACGAGCATTCTCTCTCCTCGCGGACAATAAGGAAGCCTCAAACCGTGGAAGGCCGGGAGCGAGAGGAGAGAGAGAAAGCGAGAGAGAGGAAGCCTCGCCGCGGCGACAGCAGCGAATTTTCGAATGCTTTTCTTCTTCCCTCCTCGCCGGCGCGCCGCCATTTTCCTCTCCGCTTCTCGTCGTTCGCGTGTCTTCTTCCTTTCTTCGACCCCTGTCGTGTCCGCTTCCTTTCTCTCGCTTCTTCTGATTTTTTACCCCTTCGACTTCCTTGCTCGAGGACTCTTACTCTAGAGGACTTCTGATGATGGATGCGGAGGGATGTCTCTTGGGAATTTTCTTTGGGATATTGTGGATTTTGGAGATCTAATTAGTTTGGGTTCTTTAGTATTTGGTTCTTGATTGGTGGTTTTTGTTGTTTGTGGATTGATACGGGGTGTTAGGATTTTATTTAATTGCTGGAGTTTAACCAGTTAACTGTGTTCATGTTTTGAATAAATATCTAATTATTAAACTTAACATTAGCGTTAACGTACCAATAAATAATATTATAACCATGTTGAACCTCTTGGCTACTGTCGGCTAAGGGTGCTTGAAAAATTTGGTTTCTATTTTTCATTATCAACAATAATCAAAGCTCGCCTAGACCTGGCGCGAGTGAATCTTAATTCAACGATTACATCTTCAGTCATATATTCTATAAAAGTGACTAATGTTTAGCGTATGTTAGGGTTAGACGTATAGTTTAGTTCCTGGTGAATATTTCGGAGATTTCGAGAAATCTGTCAGGGATTAATGAAAGTGCAAGGCGGAGAGCAGCTCGAAGTTATTACACCAGTCCCGCGGCCTTGGCGGGTACAAAAGGAGCCGTTGAAAGGACCTCGGGAGGTCCTCTTCTTGCATTCACGTCCAAAATTCGAGGAGCTTGTTACGGAATGTACCTGGCCGTGTAACGAACTTTTTTCGGGATGCTCGCAATGCGACCGAAAGAATTTCTGAATGTAATTCGCCTTTTCGTTGCGAGAAGAAGAAGAAGAGGAGGAAGCGAGGAGACTGTCCGCGGAGTTCTTATCAGTTTCTTCCGGGGATGTTCCAGATCGCGAGATTCCCTTTCGCAAAATGAGTTTCGCGATAGTTCCGGGGAACTTCGGTGGAAATGATTGTGACGAGATCGTCTGATAAAAAGGAACAATAAATGGTAAAAGAAACGTGGACGAGCGGAGGGGGGACGAGCCGGACAGTTCGGAGTAAAGTTTCCATCGCCGCGGAGGATCCGATAATTACCCGGCTCGATATTAATTGCTGTTATTATTAATCAGGCGAGAGGCCTCGGAGAAGGAACTTTTTCACCGTAACTTTCGGATCGCGCGATGCTGGAACAAACACCGGGTAATATACAATTAAAACTTCAATTAGTTTCGTTCCGTGCTCGGGGCTGCGCGGCGCTTCGAATTCTTGCCTAAACATGGAGGGAGATATAAATATTCTCTTGGAAAAATATGTTGCTCTTGATGAAGCCGCTCGTTGTGTTAATAGGAATGATTGGAGGTATGAAACATTGATTGGCGAAATTCCTGTGGTACTTAATAACTGAATGATCGTAAATTATTACAATCTTAATTACGAATAATTGATAATTTTAATCATGGATTAATAACCTTAATTATTACATAGATTCAATGTAATATCGATAGTTTAATGTCCAGGCAACCTTGACAGAAAATTACATTACCGGGTAATTTTCAGGAAACTGTAACGATGGCAATTTTCAGTGAAATCAATTTATATCATTATATATATGAACAATTCAGATATATTATTATGTAATATATTTTAATCAATTTGAATCGAATTGAATATTATGCTATGGTAATTAGCAAAGTTACATAGCTAGTTTTCATAGAAAAACGAGATTTCTCGTCGCCAGTACGGAAGCTTTCCATCACTTAAAACTGTTTAACTTAAAATGATCTTGAAAATAGTTTCACGAATACCATAATGATCCTCGGGAGAAACGAAAATACTCAATCATCACAATTTCCACAGCAACTACACACGAATCCTACTAAACGGTCGGTTCCAGCGTAAAATCCTCGAAAAAATCAAATTGCGAACAACTCGCGACAGCATTCAATCGAAACAATTCATTTCGAAAATCATTTCTTTTTCCAAGACAGCAATACCCGACAATCCTTCAACGATCCCCCATCAATATTCCAATAACGCGCCGGAAACGCGACAAACGAGCCCAATAATCCGAAAACAGAGGAGCACGTTCATCGAATCGGTCCGCGAACGAGGATTCAAAAAACGTTTAAAAATAAACGCATGTCCAGAATTCCCTCGTTACATTAACTCCGCGCCGGCTGTTCCGTTCGGCGGAGTGTCGCTTTAATCGGCTGTGGCTCGATTAGCGTGTAATTCGAGCAGAATCAGCGGCCAGGCTCTGTTTTTATCGAACGACCGACCGACCGACCGACTGTTTCGAGGCCAATTACTATGCGCGACGCGATCTTAATGACCCGCGTCGACGCTGTCGTCGCCGCCGCCGCCGCCGTCGTCGTCTGGATTAATAGTGATCCCGGCTGAGCCCCCAAGTTTATAGCGGGGCCACTATTATTATAGATATTGAAAATGTGGATCTTCAGTAGAAAGAGAATCAGGAAACAATATATATGTATT